TTTTTTTGAGACAGAGTCTCACTCTGTCACCCAGGTTGGAGTACAGTGGCATGATCTCAGCTCACTGCAACCTCCACCTCCCAGGTTTAAGCGATTCTCCTGCCTCAGCCTCCCAAGCAGCTGGGACTACAGGTGCATGCCACCAAGCCCATCTAATTTTTTGTACTTTTAGTAGAGATGGGGTTTCACTGTTGTTAGCCAGGATGGTCTCGATCTCCTGACCTCATGATCTGCCCACCTTGGCCTCCCAAAGTGCTGGGATTACAGGTGTGAGCCACCGTAGCCTGCCAGTTTTTTCCTTTTTTCTTTTTTTTTTAAGAGAGAGAGTGTTTCACTCTTGTTGTCCAGGCTAGAGTGCAATGGCACCATCTCAGCTCCCACAATCTCCATCTCCTGGGTTCAAGTGATTCTCCTGCCTCAGCCTCCGGATTAGCTGGGATTACAGGCATGTGCCACCATTCCCAGCTAATTTTGTATTTTTAGTAGAGATGGGGTTTCTCCATGTTTGTCTGGCTGGTTTTGAACTCCTGTCCTCAGGTGATCTGCCCACCTTGGCCTCCCAAAGAGCCGGGATTACAGATGTGAGCCACCATGCCCAGCCTGAAAAAGCCTTTCAGAAACCCTGTGTTGAACAGGTCTACAGGCACATATTTCCAGCAACATTTGCTTACTTCTGGCCTCTGTGTCACATTTTGGTAATTCTTGCAATATATCAAACTTTTTTTATTATTGTTGTGTCTGGTACAGTAATCTGTGATATTATGTCTGGTACAGTAATGTGTGATGAGTGATCTTTGATGTTACTATTATAATTATTTTGGAGCACCTTGAATTGCACCTATATAAGAAGAGAAACTTAACTCATAACTGATAAATGTGTGTGTTCTGACTGTTCCACTGACTGGCTATTTCCTATCTCTCTCCATCTTCTCAGACCTTCCTATTCCTTGAGATACAATATGGAAGTTAGGCCAATTAATAATCCTCCAAGCTTGGCATGGTGGCTCACACCTGTAATCCCAGCACTTTGGGATATCGAGGCGGGCAGATCACTTGAGGTCAGGAGTTTGAGACCAGCCCAGCCAACGTGGCCAAACCATCTCTACTAAAAATACAAAAATTAGCTGGGTGTGTGGTGGTGCATACCTCTAATCCCAGCTACTTGGGAGGCAAGGGCATGAGAATCACCTGAATCTGGAAGGCAGAAGTTGTAATAAGCCAAGATCACGCCACTACACTCCAGCCTGGACAACAGAGTGAGACTGTGTCTCAGTAAAGCTAAAAAACCAAAAACCTCTCAGTAAACTGAAAATAAAGGTAACATCTTCAACTTGGTAAGACGTTAATATCCTTACAGTTAATATCAAATGATGAGACTCTCCCAGCTTTTCCACCAAGAGTAGGAACAAGATAAGAATGTCCCCTCTCACCACTTCTTTTCAACATCATACTAAAGGCTAGCAATAAGACAAGAAAAAAAAAGGTAGACTGGGAAGAAGAAGATGAAACTGTCTTTGTTTGCAGATAACATGATGATCTATAAAAATAAATATGGAAGACCTACAAAAAACTCCTGAAACTAATGTGATTATAGCAAGCTTGCAGAATAAACAGTTAACCTGTAAAAGTTAATCACTTTTTCATATTCCAGCGATAAGCAAGTGGAATTTGAAATTAAAAGTACAATATCTGGGCCAGGCACGGTGGCTTACACCTGTAATCCCAGCACTTTGGGAGGCTGAGGCTGTTGGATCACTTGAGGTCAGGAGTTCAAGACCGGTCTAGCTAACAGGGTGAAAACCCGTCTCTACTAAAAATACAAAAGTTAGTTAGGCATGGTGGTACATGCCTGTAATCCCAGCAAATTGGGAGGCTGAGGCAGGAAAATTGCTTGAACCCGGAGACAGAGGTTGTAGTGAGCCAAGATCATGCTACTGCACTCCAGCTGGTATGACAGAGCAAGACTCCATCCAAAAA